TAGGATGGGACATGGAACACGGGATGGGACATGGGGACACCGGGATGGGACACGGAACACGGGATGGGACATGGGGACACCGGGATGGGACACGGAACACGGGATGGGACATGGGGACACCGGGATGGGACACGGGGATGGGACACGGCCAGGGGATGGGACACTGGGATGGGACACAGGGGTGGGGACACTGGGGATAGCCCAGGGATGGGACACTGGGATGGGGACACAGCCAGGGGATGGGGACACTAGGGACAGCCCCAGGGGCTGGGGACATTGGGGACACAGCCAGGGATGGGGACACAGGGATGGGGACAGGATGGGGACAGCCTCAGGGATGGGGACAGGCCAGGGATGGGGACAGGACGGGGTACGGGACATTGGGGACAGGCCCAGGATGTTGGGGACAGGACACTGGGGACACCCCCAGGACAGTGGGGACACCCCCGGGACAATGGGGACACCCCCAGGACACTGGGGACACCCCGAGGACACTGGGGACACCCCCAGGACAATGGGGACACCCCCAGGATACTGGGGACACCCCTAGGACACTGGGGACACCCCCAGGATGTTGGGAACACCCCCAGGACACTGGGGACACCCCCAGGACACTGGGGACACCCCCAGGACAAGCCCTGCCCTTTCCCAGGTGCCCACGACTGAGGAGGCTCCAAAACCCCTTCTCCATTTTCTCCAGAGCATTTTTAACATCCCAATACTTGTTCCATTTAATCTCATAACACTGAATAGATTTAACAATATTTCCAATTTTTAACAGCATAATATTCAATATTATGCTGTTAAAAATCTAAATCTTTTAATATAACATTGTTTAATATTTCTTTTAGGATTATTTTAAATAAACCTTCCCCACTCAGAAGGGGAGTGAGCCCATAGGGAGGGAAAGCTTTAATTTCCCTTTTCCTTTTCATTTCCCTTTTCCTTTTCATTTCCTTTCCCTTTCCCACATTTTTCCAGCTCAGAGCAGATCAGAAAGCTGCAGCTCTCACCTTCCCTTCCAGGATCAGCTGTTTCCTTTTATTGATTTCTTTCTTCTCATCGAAATCCGCCCCCTCCAGCTCCTGGCAGAGAGGGAAGAGAAGAGCGGTGAGGAAAGGGCAGAGCAGAGCCACAAAGCTCAGCCCTCAGCAGCAAAAACCCCTGAAAAACTGTGAAAACGCCAGAAAATTCTGAAAAAACTGTGAAAAAACCAGAAAAATCCCCCAAAACCAGTGAGAAAAGCAGAAAATGCCCCAAACCCCATGAGAAAAGCACAAAATGCTCCAAAAACTGTGAAAAAAACAGAAAAACACAAAACCCTGTGAAAAAAATTGGAAAAGCCCTGAAAAAAATGTGGAAAAAACAGAAAAAACAGTGAAAAAAACAAAAAAAGCCCTGAAAAACTGTGGGAAAATGCTGAAAAACTGTAAAAAAAACCCTCTGAAAACCTGTGAAAAAACCAGAACCCCCACAAAAAACCTGTGAAAAAACCAGAAACCCCCCAAAAGCTGTGAAAAAAGCAGAACCCCCCACTCACAATCTCACACTCCCTCCTGGTGACGCTGACTTGGGTCAGGATCTGCAGCACCTCCTGCTCCTGCACGGGGAACTCCTGCAGCTGCAGCTCTGGGGACACAGGGGGTCACAGATCCCAAAATTAGGGTCAGAAATCCCAAAATCAGGGTCAGAAATCCCAAATTCATGGTCACAGATCCCAAAATCTGGGTCACAGATCTCAAACTCAGGGTCACAGAT